CCCCAAGCTCCCACTTCATAGGCCCCTACAATGTTTCATTTCCACTGAGGGACATGCCTCGTTTGGGGGCACCCGTGTGGGAATCCTGCTGCGCGCCAGAATACCATTCTGAGGACTTCAACTCCCCGGGTCAACTTGACTGGTGCGTGTTAGCGATCCTGAATATTGCCAGAAAGCCATTGGTGGGACTTCAACGCCGCGAATCAACGTCCCTTTCGCGCCCTGGCTGTCCTGAGCCATTCGGAAACACGGTTTCTGGTACGTTAACCGGGGGAACCAGTGACGTTTTGCAAATGTTTGCAACGAGTATGCGCGGCGTTGAGGCGAGAACCACACTTTGAAACGCAGCCGCATTTAACCAGTGCTCTTGCAAATGTTGAGAGCGAGTGTGCGCGGCGCTGAGGCGAGAGCCACCTTCTGAATGGGAGCCGCCCTCAATCCGCTAAGCTCTTGTAGCTGCTTTTTTATCCCAACCCTCCTGCGTTGGGTACTCGTTTTGAATAGAGCACTGCTTGTTCCGTCCTTTTTCCCGCCTTCCTTCCTCCTCTCTTCCCTCCTCTCGTTTTACCCGTTTGCCTCTTACCTCGTTCCGCTCCCTCCTGCGATGGGTTCTCGTTTTGAAACGAGCACTGCGGACTCCACCTCCTTCCGCCAGCCACCTCTCCCCGTCTTTTTTGCTTCTCACCTCGCTCCCTCCTGCGTGCCAGCTTGCCTCCTACCTGGCCATCCCTGGGGGGCTGCGATCTGCGAAACTGCCAATTTCGAGGGCTGCGGGGGGGTCCAGCGGAGTGACGTCCTACGCGGGCTCAAATTCTAGACGCTTCGCGCATCCCCACCAGCCCATCAAGTGCGGGAGCAAAGAGGGGGACGGCCGAGCCGTGCGAAGGAGGCAGGAGGAACGGGAGGAGGATTGATGGATGGATGAGGGAGTGGGGCGAAGGAAGATGATTAGGATGAGAAGGAGGAGGAGGAGGAGGAAGAGAATGAGTAGGAGGAGGAAGGAGGAGCAGGAGGATGGCAAGCCAAAGGGCCAGAGGTCTCTCGGATGCCTCTCGGAGCGTCTTGGGATATCTCTTCTGCGCTTCTTGGTGGCCTCTTGGGACGTCTTGGGGGTCTCTTGGCGGTCCTGCGGTGGTCTTGGGCGTTTTGGGTGCCTCGGGGGGGGCTGCTTGGGGTCCTCTTGGGGGCCTCTTGGAGCCATCTTGGGGCCATCTTGGGGTCTCTTGGGGTCTCTTGGGCGCTTCTTGGGGCCACCTTGAAGGACATCGATCAAAGAAGGGGGGCCCCTAATTAGGGTCGCCCCTCTAGGGCCTTTAAAATCGCCTCTTGGGCCGCTCTTGGGCGCTCTTGGGGCCGACTTGAGGCTCTCTTGGGCCCCTCTCGGGGCCCTTTTGGGCCATCATGGAGCCATCTTGAGGCCTCGGATGGCCATCGGAAGCGAAAAGGCGAGACGGCACAAATCATTGGTTGAGCTTAGGTTTTGGACGGATTCTGGCGTCTTGTAGGCCTCCTTGGCTGTCTCGGAGGCCTCTTGGAGCCGTCTTGGAACATTCTTGGATCTTCTTGGAGCATCCTGGAAGCCATCTTCAGGCATCTCGGCTATCTTGAGCCATCTTGGAGGTTATCTTGGGCTCTCAGAGGCCCTCTTGGAGCCGTCTTGGGCCATCTTGGACCCTCGGATCGCTCGCGACCGGCCCCGTCCAGGTCCAGGGTAGGGGGTAGGGGGAGGGGTCAAGTCACCCACCCGCTCGCAAGCCGTCTAGCTCACTCCCACCCGCTCCCCCCAACACATGAGTAACACCCGAGCCTGAGCATGTTCAGCGGTCGTCTTTGGATGGACAGCTACTGGGAACCAAAGCCGACCCCAGCGATGTGCGCGACGCTTGGGCGAGACGCGCCAAGCGTGCCAGGGGTGCCACGCGCGCCAGGCACCCCTGGGGCCCGAGCGTGCCAGGCCTGGTGCGCCAGATGCGCCACGTGCTCCGAGTGCGCCTGGTGTGCCGCACACTCCCAGCCGCGCCAGGTGCGCCGTGTTCGGGGCACGTGCAGAGTGCGTCAGGTGTGCCTGCGCACGTGACAGCACACATCGGGAAACATGCCGGCCCCCGCCATCCTTGTCGAAAACCCATGCCCATCGTTGCGCCTGGTGGGCCTGCGCACAGCAGGCCACGCGCCACCATCCCCGCGGTCCCTGTCAAAACCATTTGACAGTGATCGCGGGATGGCCGCGCATGATCCAGATTAAGCCGCGAGGTGCATGTTGTATGTTGTTTTTCAGGGATGGTAGCCCTGCGCGCGGCAGGGAATACCTGGCACCCCCGTCGCCCCTGTTAAAAACAATCCAGAGTGTTCGCGGGCCTCACGAACATGACTCGAGCCTTTGCCCCCAAGTGTACTTTGCATTGTTTTTTGGCAGGGATGGTAGGGGGGGCCGCATCGGGTTGGCCGCGCATGCTCCAAATGTGGAGGCGGAGTGCGGTTTGTATTGTTTTTGACAATG